TTCCTTTACTTTATCCATTGGTATGAGAAATAAATCATCCAGCATTGGCGTAAGAAATATGGTAATAGTAATCGTTTTAGTCTGGAAGAAATTGACTTTGGAAGAAATTAAATTCGTCGGTACATTGTCTGTTGTACTTAACACTCTGGTCGAGGCCCCTTTGGGTTTGGTCTACTGGAATTGTGCCAGTTTTGTCAACTGTTACAATATTATCATATCTGGATATATTATGTAGCATCAAAATGCGTAACTTTATTGTGGTTTGAGATTCTACTAGCATTCTTATTTCTCGATCGATGGGATTGTTTGGCCGCTTTGTAGTCAGTGCTTTATAAAAAGCAAATAGAAAAATAAAGCTTCTCGCGAAGCTCAACGACCCTACAACCGATTATTTAGGGCAGCGTAGTCAACAGCATATCAAGTCACACCTTTTTGTTCCAATATCGCCTCCAGTGCAACTAAACAATATGCGTTAATGTGACGTTTGATGTGCTGTCGTTTGCACAATGGTCTCATGGAGAACAAAATTATTTAATATATTATTTAAAACGACCTTCTCTTGCCCTTTGCCATTGGTAAAAAGAAGGTCATTAGGAGGTGTGATCGTATAGGAATAGTTCCGTGTAATACTTATAAAAGATGGTATAAATACATTTATACGCCGACGCACTTTGGCATAGATTCAACTCAAACGTGGTATTTGGAATGAGGGATCAATATATGAGTTATAATTCAGAATGTTGTAGGTGTTGCAATTTTAGTAGACCAAAATCTTTGGTCTACTTAAATTACAACAAAGCTGTGTATTAGTCATCATCAACTCGTACACGTTTAAAGCTGAGTACGGGTTTATTCTGAAGTGAAGGTCTAGGCCATACAGATACATTGGACGAAAATAATTGTTCTCGTAGTAAATCTTATAATTCACAAGCACGAAGTTAATCACGAGCAGTAGAAGACCGAGGTGGGTGCCAAAGTTAGGGGGTCTTTGCCCTGCAATCGGACAAAAATAGCAGATACACACGTCAAATGGATTGTGGGCGCCACGCCAAATGTTGAAAACAATCTACTTATTCTATATTTCTATTGGTAAATCCATAATTTTTTTTCTTAAGCTACGTCACAACATATCACTTACTGTCTTTGGTATCCAAAAGGAATTCCGCTGTCTGGTTCAATGAATTGTATAGCACGGTGTAGTTTGTGCCATTCCTGATTTCGAATTGTACACTAGCGTCCTCTGTGACGTTGGTAATAGGGTTCTTGACCATTAACGGCTGGAGCTGAGGCAAAGCTGGTGAGGTCCACGCGAGGATCGTGCCGGCAATTACAGCTCCGATAGCCGCTGTACAAAAAAAAATAGTAATCAGAATTGACAGAGGTAAGAATAGACTTTCTAGGATACAGGATTAGGGTTCTAATAGCAAAAGTACGTGATCCCTGACGAGGAAGATAATTGTAGATGGTAGACTTGGATTAATTTGCAAAATTTCTTACAAATTTTGAGAAACGGCTATTCTCGTAGATCTATTTGTTATCGCATAGTGTCAATATTTGGATTATGTATTTGGATGTATGTATAATTATATATATTGTGTAATGTATGTTATGTATTTGGACAAGTCAAGGGTCCTCTAACCATCTAATGGGCCAGGTTTTAGCTTAATGCTGTTTTAGCGTTTTTCATGATCGTTCACATCACATCTAACCGGTTGAATCAGAATTCCCGTATTATATATTTTGTACTTTGTACTCTATAATTGATAAACAAAATCTTCTTTGTTGATGTTCATAAATCATTATCGATTGATTACACAACGGTTCGCAAGATTAACATCATGTTACAAACGTACGTGTATAATACGGCGACTCGTATTTATAAACTATGTCACGTCAGCTGCCAATTCGCAAGACTCGGGGTTGTTAACCATCTATTTTGGAACCATCGTTTCACCTGTGCTTTTTTTGGTGTTTTTCTCAACATAGTTGCGGAGTGCTTTTGTAACATCCTCGTCATCAACTTACTTAACTCCATTGCTATATCTATTGCTGATAATGTAGATACATTAGCGGTAAACAGACATGTTACAAACAGGGTTAGAAAATTTCTAATTATTGGTATTATCTAATTATTATTAACTGTTTGTGGTTACTTACCCGCAACAGCGGCAACAAATTGATTGACCTTTCTCGTCTCACCACCTCTCTCCTGTACGGAGAGCATATGCATTGTTGGTTTGTCCATTGCTGGCTATTTATGGTTTCCTTGCATTCTGTAACAAATACGTTAACGACATAAGACCATTATTACAGATGTTATTTAGTTACTACAATGACCTTATTATAGGGGTTGATGCGAAGGAACACTATAGTTTTATAGTTTTTATGGTCTCAAGACAGGCCAAACAAGTCGTGCACCATGTGGTAAGGTAACAGCTGCAGCGCCACTGAGAGCTTTAAAATTGCAAAGATCTGAAGGACATTGCTGCTGCCTCACCTTGAGACATACAAGTTAACAAGTCCCATGTGCCTGTAATTTCACCAGCATTATTATTACCCTTCAAAGTTGGAACTCATTAAAGCTTACATTATTGCTCGGCGGCAAAAATATGTGTGGTGGTAGTACTTCTTTGAACGAACTCTTTCAGAAGGAGTTCTACTACTGCTAAATGTACTAAGTTACTAAAATTAATTGACAATTTTCAACAAGTTTTTGTTCTACCGAAGCGAGAAACTCCAATCCGCACTGGTAGATCACTACTTGAACGCATAAATTCTACATTGCAAATAGCAAGTCTCAAAACGTCGTTACTTGCGCCTGCGTCCTTGATACTTGATAATGAGTGCTAATAAGATGCCAATGGTAAATGGCTCTGAGTGTAGATATGTCATCGATGCGAACTGCCTGTGACTGGATCGAATATTATGATCGCCAATAGTTTTATTTTTATATCCTATTATCATTGATTTATTGACATCATCTTGTATTTTCTCATGTTTTTCATAGCGATTAGAATCGCAAGAGAAAGTGACAACGTTAGAACAAAGATTGCATACAGCAGGTGTATTTATATCTACGTCCTCTATTATTTAGAATCAGTAGAGTTACCTTACCTATTTCCACCGCCAAGCAGTCATGTGAGCATTACTACGCTCCGGTTACTGCTGAAGCTAGAAGTACATGAAACATGTTAACTTATATCTCAACTTGTGGCAGCGCCGTGGCAGTGCCCCTCAGATCTCTTTGTGATTGAATGCTGGTACAGCAACTACTAAGGACAGACAGTACGACTTGTTTGTCCCGTCACATGGTATCATAAAAAAATCTTGAATAACGGAAATATTATTCAAGATTTTTTTATGATACCGTCAACATACACTGCACTTTTCAATAAAAATATGAATCTCATGAAGCCAATATTTGCAACAACGAAAACTCAATTTTTGTGTAAGGTGTACGTGTAAATAATGTAAGGAAGTGTTTACAAATAGGTGTAGAATTTCGGGAATCACCACACTTAACATAGCGAAGTTTGCTTGAGTAGATCAGAAAAAGTTTTTATGTCAATGATTTAATTTTTTTTCTTTTTTTGCATGAATATAACGTTCTATTCCGACCGGCTCCTCCGGCTTAAGCCGGTTATGTGAGGTGACTCCCTTACTCGTCTGCACTCGCCTCCGTGAGTCAGCCATCAGGTGCTTTGCTCGATTGGACTTCATTGACATCTAATAACTGACCCATATACATTATTCTATTTGCGATCAGTGTGGCAGTAACAACATAAATACGTTACGAAACACTCATTGATTTACTACTAAAATTCTAATTATAAGTGTATGGACGTATGTGTTACATGCTCAGAAATTAAAGAGGATCTCGGCATTCAGCACTACACTTTGAATTGAAGACTACGTGTTAGATAAAGATGTATGGAAAGACGACATGGCTCCAGAATCCACACAAATTTGATTCAAAGTGTATTCCATAGCATTTAAGTTTATTTGAAAAGAGCAATCCCTAGAGTTTCTTGCTCGTTCTTCTCAGGGAGGTCAGCGTAGTGAACGAGCAGTAGCTTAAATGTGACTTTTTCAAGTGTAAATTTATTTTACCTATGGAATAAATATTCTTTGACTTTGACTTTGACTTTGACACTTTACAGTATTTGTTAGCCTCCATGTAATAGTACATAAATCCAACCCCCTACTTTCACAGGCTAATTAGATGTGGTGATGTATTTCACCCTCATTCCACACTAATTTCGTACAAAGTGTACATAGTTTCCGGAACTGGCCACTTACATAAACAATATTTAAAAAGTAATTACAACATTTGAAAATGGAACTCTTTGGCTGCAGAATACAGTTTGTTTCATCTGACTGTCACTTGTTTTTACATTGTGGCGTCATTTTAGAAATTGGTTGTCTACATCACCATGGATTTAACATGGATTTAACTCGTGAAAATTTTCGTAGAATGATTTTCTACGACTTGAAACGTAATTTAACAGCTCAGCGGAGGTTTGCTCGATTTCAACTGCTTTTGGCGATGAAGCGCCATGCAAGACGACTATTCATAGCTGGTTTGCAGAATTCAAACGTGGTCGTGTGAATCTCAGTGACGAATTTCGTGATGGTCGCTCGTCCACTGCTGTGAACACAAAAACATCCATGCTGTGTGCCGTATGATCCAAACAGAAAGGCATGTGACATACCATGAGATTCGGGCATCTTTAGGCATAGGCAGGAGTCAAATACAATCATACTACACAAACATTTGGGTGTGATAGAGCTGTGCTCTCGGTGGATCCCACACAATTTGACTGAGGCTCAAAAAACGGATCGCGTCACTTGGTGCAATGCCATGCTTACCAGATTCAACGAAGGGGCATAATATTTGGTGTGGGACATAGTAACAGGTGACGAAACATGGATTTATTGTTAAGATCCCAAAACAAAGCAGTAATCGAGCGTATGGGTCTTTCTGATACATATGACAATTACAGACGTACACAATATTCGCTATACACTGCGCTATACATACATATTTAATCAATTTCACGACAACAACACAGAAATACTTACGCAATGCTTTAAAAAAAAGAAGTTATTGACTAAGTTCGTAAAAATAACCGTAAACTGTAAATTATCCTAAATTATAAATTATTATAATTATTATAATGCCAGTTCTCACACGGCCAGGCAGACAAATGAATTTTTCAAGGTGAACAACGTTGACCTTATGAGCATTCCCGCGTACGTTCCCGACCTGGCACCTTGTGATTTTTTATTTATTTCCAGAAATTAAGAACCAGTTAGGCGTTCAACGATTTTCATCACCTGAAGAGGCTGTTGAAGAGTATGAAAAATATGCTTCAGAGATTGTCACAGAGGAGTGGCATGAATGTTTTCAAAATTGGTTCATTCGTATGAAAAAGTGCATTGACGCTAACGGAGAATATTTTGAGAAACAATAAATTCATTTCTGACCATTTGTAGTATTTTTTTCTTATTAATTCCGTAAAGTTATGTGCGCCTCACCTTATAAGCTTCCATGTCTATTATTCAAACTTTTGTAATGTTATGTGAACGATGAAATTTATTTTCCTTAGGCCCGAGAGAAATTTCTGCACCACTTCACGCTATTTACGCCAACGCCATTAATTATTTTGTTACTCATGTTTTAAATAGAAATAATGTTTTTCAAACATACTTGTAACCTCGTAGATCATTGTAGAGTAATTTGTTATATTTCATGATAGCCTTTCCGCATTCAAAAAATCCCTTATCTTTGTAACCATTTATACATGAAATATTTCTTTTTAGTCTTTGATTATTTAGAAAATGAAACTATTTTTTGTTCTAAAACGCGTATGTTTGTTTTTTCAATGAAACCAACGTTTCGGGCCTTTAACAGGTCCCATGGTCACGGCTGACCGATAAAAATACTTTCATTTCCTAATGTGAAAACCTAAGAACTCTATATTTATTCTATTTGTAATGTATGAGTGCCGTGCACAGTTGTCATTGGAATACGGATTTACCGATGTCTTGCTTTTCATTGTTTTTAATTTTTTTCTATTACCTTTATCATCATTGGTAGCAGTAGAGCTCCTTGTGAAAGAGTTCGTCCAGGGAAGTACTGCTACCTTAAAGGTAATCCGAGCATTACTGTTTTCCGGTTGGGAAGGGTAAGGGTACTGGTGGAAGTGCAGTGCCCCTGCGATCTTTGCGGTTTAAAGGTCTGAGTGGCAGTACAACTGTTATGAATAAGCGTACCGCGTACCATCAGGCCGCAAGACTTGTTAGTCCCGTCACTTTTTTTTTCAATTTATTTAATAATTACAAAAACATTAACACGGTTAACGGTTTTACTTTACACTTTTAAACCTAAACAGATTTGTATGAGCGTTGCAATACTTGTTAGGTACTTGATATTTAAAAAAAAAGATCTGGTACGTGAATTATAGATTGCAATAAGTTTGTAATCTAAGTCGCAGAGAAAAAACGCGTCAGAACGTATGAGTATCTTCGAATTATTTCATCGTTGTCAAAACGCGTCAGAACGTATGAGTATCTTCGAATTATTTCATCGTTGTCTTTTAAAACATGACTTTCTTTTAAAAACAGGAAGTCACCTTCATTCAATAAAGTATATATTACACATATGATGACGAAGTATTCCTGTAAATCTACTGTACCGATAAATATTGATTGAAAACAGTATCTACTTATACTTTTGTTTATTTTTTCCTAGAATTTTTATCTACCCTTCACTACAATATAATATGTACGCAATAGATATTTCCAATAAGAAGTTGTTTGTAGATATTAGGTAGTTTATTGCGATTGTATAGTAGGTGCTATGTTCATATTTATTACACATTTATATCGAAGTTTTTGAAGTAACTCTTAATATACAGCATGTTTTCATAAGTCTTCACTAATAAATGCTTAAAGCGATGTATTTTAACCGAGCCTAGATTTTAAGAGGTGAGATGTCCTCCCGCAATCCGCGAAGAACACGGATAAAATTTGACGCATATCGAATGTGGACAAGCGTACTATGGCGGCTGACGGAGCAGCGGGCGGCGCGGCGTGTCGTTAAACTACTGGGCAATTGCAAATTTTGGGGTAAATGTGAATTTAATACCTTACAACAACGTGGGAGATATCGCTATACATGCCACTGTTGGGCACAAGCCACCGTTAAAAGAGGATCCACGATCACTAGCCCGAAAATTGACAACGTTTTCAGACTAATTTATGTGGTCTG